CTGGGTCAATGCTTGCAGAAGGGGCTGCTGGCCCGGTAGCTATTGATTTCTACAGGCAGCTCAGCCCTGACCATAGCTGAGCTGAGCCGAGTACATGAGAAATAGCCTCTGTTTTTCGAGAGTGGATGAGTGTGGAGACTAATGTAACTGCTGAAACAGTCATACTTTGCCCATTTTCCAAATGACTCATCTTTTTATTCTGTGAAAGAGCCGCTGATGTGTTATGGCTATCAATCTCAAATCAAACACACATTGCAAACTATTTTCCTTATTAAAATTCTCTTTTATGTTTAGGACCTTTTAAAAAACAAATAGAAGTGAAAAAAGGTTTTGGAGACAGGGTTTCACTGTATAGCCCCAGAGGGACTGAATCTCACCCTGTAGAGCAGGCTGACCTCAAATCCACAGAGATCTACCTACTTCTGTCTCCAGAGTGTTGGGTTTAGAAGCATGCACCTCAATGTCTGGCAGACATGAATTTTTTTCATATCAGTGGTTTTTTTTCCAGGTTTTTGAGTTTTATAGAAGTTTTTAGGGAATTCTTTTTCTTATCCAGGTAATAAATGTACTCTTCATTTTCTGCTCTGCTACCCAAGTAGTTATGTTAAAATACTCTTTAGAATATTAAACAATTTGGAATATTTTTATATATTATTCAATATTAGCATTTATAATGACTTTGTAATTGCTCATTGAATTGTCATAGTATTGTTTATTAAATAGTTTAGTTCTTCATGATTTTTAATTCTCTTTTCTATTTTTGTTTGTATGTATTCATGTATATGCAGGTGTCTGTGTATGTGCACATGCTTGTTTGTTTATGTGTGCACTTGCATGCATATGAGTATGAATGCATGTGCATATGTGTGGAGGCCAGAGGACAATCTCCATGTTGTTCTTTAGGAGTCATCTATCTTGTGTTTTGAGACAAGCTCTCTCATTGGCTAGAGCTTCTTAAGCAGGCTGGCTGCTCTAGATAGCATCCTGTCTCTGCTTACCCAGTGCTCGTATTACATATGTGAACCACTATGGCCAACACTTTTATATGGGTTATGGCAACTGAATTCAGATGCTCACACTTGCATATGTTTATCTTCTGAGTAATCTCTGCAGCCACACCCTTTTCTTTATGCGGTAAACCCTCACATCTGTATGTTTGTTTCTGTTTTCTTGTTCTTCTGCTGTGGGAGTGGGTGCAGTGTCCCCTCACTTGGGCTTTCCATACTTACTACAGGGTTAAAGTTACAGTAGCTACTCCACATCATAGCACTGTGAGGTATAAACTGTAGCTTCTCAGAGCCTGGCTCATTCCAAGTACTCAGGATTGTTTTTTTTTTTTTTTTTTTTTTAACAGTTGTTTGCAAACAGTGTTGGTGATGCTTAATTATTATAATAGGTAGTCATTGTCATTATCTTTCCCCTTAAGGCTGTGCTTACACCTTTATTTTTCTATTTGAGTCCAATTTATCAGGCTCTTAAGAAAAGGAAGGAGGCCCCAGTGTGACTCTGACTGAAACTACATTTTATTTATACATGAAGCAGGAGGTCTGACATCTTACCCAGTTATGGTGTCTTGCCTACAAGCAGCACCACTCTCCAATTGTTTAGGTTTTGTCCTATGTTCTTTACTTAGTCTGAGGCATTGGTTTTTTTTTTTTTTTTCTTTTTCTTTTTCTAGCTTTCCCCTTGTTGTGGTTAAGATGGGCCCTCTCCCCTCAGAGCATGGTGAGTTTCCTCACATACTTTGAGATATATTTTCTTTTAAGCCCTTCAAACAGCCCTGGGGATTTCAGTCATCAGAAGAAGAATTAGAAAGGAAGAAGGAAAGGGAAGTGGTTGCTTTAAGCAACTCTGTGTTACCTATGTTTATTTTTACTTAATCTTATGGAAGTTGGTTATCCCTATTTTGTAAGTTGGTAATTGATGTTGAGAGAAACTAAGTTGCCCTGACCAGGGCTCACAGTAAAGAAAGGATTTAGCCCTAGGCTTTGGAGGCCACTCCCCTGCTCCCTCTGGTGCCTTACATTTCTGCATTCATCATTTATCTTAGTGGAAGTTAACCCCAGACCAAATGATCTGTTCCTGGGCCAGGCTGCTGTTCCTAAGGCCAGTTTCTGGACCTAGCAACATGGCCAGAATGATGTGGCCCCTCCTAAGAGCCAGTCAAAGTAGGTTGGTCTGATGCCCAGAGCTCAGGTTATATAAACTACCTAGGAGGAAGCTCAAGGCAGAGTGATGGAGGTTCAGAAATCTCTCATACAGCAAAGTCTTGTGTCTTGTTATCTGGTCACAAGGTTGAGGAAGTGTCAAGGCCAGGCTGAGTGGTAGGTGACATCACTTCCTTAGGGATGAGGATCAGAGTGAACAGAGGTGTCCAACCTGGAACTCACCTCCCATTGACCATCCTTGGCCTCTTCTTGCACCAACTGCTGCCTCTCCATCAGCAACACTATCAGATGTTGCTTTCCTAGGCTTGCAATCCCTCTTCCTTAGACATAGCAGGCCATCAAATGCTTGCTTTTCTCTGAATCTGCATATCTGGGCTCATTGCTAGCCTGAATCATGATGGAATTGTCTTGTTGCAGCTCTGGGCTCTGAGACCTCTGGAGTCCATCTGCTCTGGCCTCTGTCAGCAGGAAGATCAACCCAAGAGCCAAAAGGGTCCTGGCTCTCTTTAAGACCTCCAGAGAGGGAGACATGAGACTGGATGGTGGAGTCCAGACTTTAGAAGGTTCATGTTAGGTGAAGCAACTATTTCATCTATTGAGAATCTGAGTGATGTTTCACTAGATCAGTGGTTCTCAACCTGTGTTGTATATCAGACATCCTACATATCAGATGTTTATATTACAATTCATAACAGTAGCAATGTTATAGTTATGAAGTAGCAACAAAACACTTTTGTGGCTGGGGGTGGGGGAGTTCACTACAACATGAGGAACTAACTATATTAAAGGGCCATATCATTAGGAAGGTTGAGAACCACCACACTAGAGTAGAATGCTTCCCGGTGAGGAGGATGGCGCTGGACTCTATGGTCTGTGCTGGAGGACTCCAGTTCTTTCCGGAGTATTTCCAGATGTGAAAAGTCGATCGGCTCCACTTGCTTTCTTAGTCTGGGGTAGAGGAAGGCCTGAGTGTCTGAGAAGGCAGTGCCGTGGAACTGGCGTCTTTGACACAGCTACCAGCAATGGCTACCTAGTACACACCATGCCCTGGGAGGACATGCAGGGTAGTAAGACAGAGGAAGTAGGTTGAGACTCCTGTCCACAGACTGGACTTTGTGGGGGGGAGGGACAATTCCCTTTCCATTATCAGAACCAACTGAGATACAGGAATCAATAAATAGAGGTGAAAATGTCACTGTTGTGACTGAGACAGCTAATCCTGGAGGTATAGTTTGTATCTGTGGGAAAGCTTTCTAAAAGTGAGCCCTGCAACACACAGACTTACTGCCCTCATGGGTAGCACCAGAGAACCATAGGCCTGTCCTCCTACCAGTCATCACCATGCCCTTTGTGTTTCTCCCACCATTTACGAAACGGGAGCAGAGTTCTTGTCACATGAAAAGATGTCCCCTCCGAAGGAAGCTGCACACCAGGAACAGGAGGTTCCTGCCTCCTTGCTAGTCCTGGGGACCACCTCAAGATGAACTTTATGGCAATGTGAACTTTGATACCAGCTATCTATCTAGGCAGAAAGGAAATGATCGGAATGAAACCTGTTTAATCAGGGAGCGTTTATTCCTAGAAATGACTGTGAGCAGAACTGGGCAGAGAATGAGGCATACAGTTTATATAGGCCCTGTTGAAATGTGGAGAGTTTATGATGAGCTGGAACTCTGGAAAAGGGACAAAGGCTCCCCAACATGATGGATGTGGTAGCTCTCAAGCCTTGGTTCCCACAAGCCTTGGTAGTTGGGAAACAAAGGGTAGACAGTGTGGCCCTACTGAACATGCCCAGCGGCATCGGGCCCAGCTGGTTTGTGCAGTGCAGGGAGGACTGAACCCACCCTGTAGGAGGTGGGGAGGATGGAGAGCTGAGGCTCCTGGTCTCCACAAGAGTGTGGCTCGCCCGTCTGGCTTGACCCTAGTCTGATAAAGTAGGAGTGCATCTTGATTTCCATTTGCAAAAATCTGCGTGGAGTTTTCTTTGGAGAAAATGAAGGTGTTTTCCGAACATGTTTGCTGTGTGTTGCCAGGTAGAATATGGCCGGGTGTGGGTTGGTGCTGCCATGCTGTCTTGCTTCAGTGCAGAAGCATTCAGGTCCCACAGGTTCTGCAGAGGTCCCCGAAGATGCAGTTACAGGACAATTCCAAGGTCATGCTTTTCTTGGTTTTGACATGCTGTTCATTTTGAACCGGATTTCCTTCAAAGCATGCTTTTCTTAGGGTGGTGTTACAATCTCTTGGCTTTCTCAGAGCACCTCAAATCTGATGGTTAAAATTATGCTGAGGGTAAGAAGAACAACTTCGGCCATGGACACGTATTTAAAACCAAGAATGGCATATTTTCATTTGATCTATTTTCTGACTGCTTATACATCTTAGGGTTATTCATGCTTACACACAAATTCAGGTTTTGGCCCATGTTTGCTCAAGCATGTTCACATGGATGATAGTTTCACAGGCAGTGTGTGAGCTGTGGGGATCTTTAGCCAGGGACAGAGTCTGTTCATGGTTGGCAGTGTCCACCTCAGCTTCCACTTTCTACTGTCACCCTGTGCTCTATCTAAGTTTCTTCCATGAGAGATAGTGAGATTTTCAAGCTGTTTTCTGTTTTATGAGATTTCAGACTCTGTGCTTAAAGGAAGTTCCTGCTGTGTAGTCACTGTAAGTTTTCACCCCAGCAAGAAAAAAAATGAGATATTCAATGCCCGAACTAACAGCAACATTTGACAGTGAACTAATATTTGCATCTGTTCACTCCCATGCCCTTGATTCTCCAGTCCCTCAGACGAGGGTGCAAACAACTGACCACCCTTTTGGTATTCCTTTCAGGGACACCCGTGTGGTTTTTTGTGAAGATTGCTCCGATCCGGAATGAACAGGATAAAGTGGTTCTGTTCCTTTGCACATTCAGTGACATAACTGCCTTCAAGCAGCCGATTGAGGATGACTCATGCAAAGGTTTGTAATTCTGATTTGTGCATGTATGTTTATATGTGTGGTTCTCCCCCTTTGACTCTCCATTTTGCTACAGAAAAGTTGAGGTTGCCAAGGCAATCTTGTGCATAGATCAGGATTTAGATCTTAGTTTGTGTTGGGTATTATGTTATTCTGTTGTGTGCTTGGGGAAGTGAGAGACAGAAAACGTTGTTTGGTAAGGCGTTTAGAAATGAACCCTTTTACACTTACAGTTTGATGCAAGAAAGCAGCCAGGCATACCTGACAGCACCAGGACTCTTCCAGGTTTCCTTTCCTTTTGCCTCCATCTTTCCACCGCTGGAGATTAGATGTATGGCCTTGCACATGCTAGGCAATCGCTTTTCCACTAAGCTATCACTCTTGACAGGTATTCATAGTCATCCACATGGGTAGGCGTGGCCATACCATGTTTATGACTTCCAAGTAGATGCCCTTGGGTCTGTCTTGCTTGCAGCCCCTTCAACACAAGAAATCAGACAATGATGAACCTGAAAGGGGAGAAGCCAAGAAAACTAAGATGTTGGTAAACGGCAGTGTGTCTGCCATGGTCTCGAAACCAAAATTTGGGCTAAATTAATCCATCTGAGTTGTGACACAATTAGGAAAAAGTTAGATACACTCACATATCCACCACCATGCTTTGAACCCCATGTATATGTCTAAATGTGGCTTATCTGTGTCTGGTTGCATTGTACCTGTGGCTGATTAATTGATTTCAAACATGATGTTACTGAGGCCAGGGACTCAGTAACATTTCTGTAGGGGTCATCTGGTCAGCTGCATGACCTTAGATTTTAGCCAGATTGTAGGTGTGTGTTGTTTGGATAATAGTGGGGGCTTTGGAAAGGAGATGGCAAGGTTGCTAGGAGAGAGAGTTAGGCTCAGCCCATTGGGGATAGGAGGAACAGCATGGTGTTGCCAGCTGTCTGAGGTTACAGGATATCAGAGTAGTGTTTCACACCCCTCTCCTACAATTTGCACTCAATTAACCAAGAACCCAGCAGCTATTTCATGTTGCCAGGCTACCTAGCTCCATGACAGGCTTTCTGCTCCAGAGCTCTGCTCTTGAGAATTCCTATGATACAGCTGAGAAATGCCAGCCATCGAGTCCAGAGGAGAGGCAGGCCGGGGCATTGTTACCTGGGATGTGACAAAGACTGTTAAATGAGCATCATGGGGGGGGGGTCTGTGTCTCTGAGGGTGTTTAAAATCCCATCACATTTAGACACATTTATGGATCACAATGCTGTGTGTGCCACCCTTTTCCAGGGTGTGGCGGCTCAGAGTGCAGGCATCACACTGCCCAGTTTCTAGTTTGGGTTTGAAGATTCCTCAGAGTGGCAGATAGCACATGGTGACTCACTTAGAAGGGCTGTTTGCTTCTGTCAACCTAACAAACTCAGAAGCGCTGTTCTGAGGCCATTTAGATTTTGACAATTACTTTTTAAGTGTTTACTTAAAAATTTAAAATATGTGATTTGCCTATGTCAAATGTTTTCTGCTGAGATAGAGTGGTATGTAATAATAACAATAATTATTATTATTATAGTAGGAAAGGCATAGTCTTCTGAAAGTTTCTTATCTGATGCATAAGTACCTACTTGATTCTCACAACACCCAAAAGAAGTGATGAATCAGAGTGATGGTCTGAGACTTGCTTGGCTTTATTTCCCAAGAATCATATGTTCCACTTACTCGGCCTGACCTGCCCCTGTGGTGCATCTTGTTGTTGATGAGAAGCTTGGTGAATTCCCTCCCTCCCTCTCTTTCCCTCCTTCCTTTTCTCCCTCTCAACTATTCCTTATTAGCCAAGGTAACATCTTGTCCTGTATTGATTCTTATTGTGAATGAAATAGCATGTGTAACATGCGGCTATTTGTAGTCAATTTAGAACACCTATATATAGAACACATATTTATACATAGACACCTGTGAATATGTAGAAACATACATGTATACATATACACACACGTACTCACATATGTGTATACATGAATATACACATATGTACACAGACATACATATACACATACATGTGCACACACACATATGTATAAACACATGTACATGCTCACATACATTAGCTTTCAATGTGAGAATCCTGGTAGGGAATCCAGCTTCATGCCACCTCAACGATATGACTCTCTAAGCCTCTGTGCAGTGCCATGTGATGCTACTGCTTCCCGCCACCATACCCCTGGCCCACTGTGGTATAGTGGTCTGCCCAGGACAAAATCAGACTTTATATTATCCTGTTTATGATGGAAAGGCCTAGCAATTGGTGCAGTCTGATCCAGATAGGAAGTGTGGTGGGCTGTGTGGCTGGATTGCTTTGGCTTGACCTTGCTTTCTGGAGATGCTCTTGGCTCATTTCCACTGCCCCTGTGGGTGGGGGTGGGGGTGGGAGGGTGGGGGTTGTAGTTAAGCACCACAGTCAGCATTGTCTTCAGAGACTTGCTTCCCTGGGCTTGTTGAGAATAGAAGCAAGAAGATACCATGCAGAAAACTCCCAAATAGCCTCTACTATCTGGCTAGTTTATTAACTTAGGTGTGTTCAAATCTTGTTTCAGATTACTTGGTTTTGATCATGTAATTCACATTTTGGGTGCCTGGGTAGTGTGGGTGTGTCCTGAGCAGGGAAAACTCCAGAGAAGATTTTGTAAGGACCAAGATTGGAATATTGGAGGATGAGGTCTCCTTCCTGGGGCTCATTGATGAGGAGTCAGATACACAGTGCAGCCTTTTTCCTTCTAATGTTGGATAACAGAGAGGTTGTTAGTCAGTGAAGCTGCTTATAGCCCTTGTAGACTTTGCATGTTTGCACATTCATGGGGGAAAAGACTGGATGGGATACTCCAGGGCACAGGCAGTGTTGTGGCCACTTGTGTGGGTTCACAGTTCACTGACATATAGGCAGTGGTTCATGCTGACTTCCCATGTGTATCCACTGTTTTGTACCAATGTTGCTCCAATTTGGAGAGATTTTAAAGCTGAAAGAGATTTCAAACAGTTCCCATAGCACATCCCACCAAGTTCACCCTGTAGTGGGGTGCGTGAAAAGATCTCAACAACCCCTGTAGAGTCTAGGCTGTCTCTCCTGCTGACCCCAGTAGAACTCCAACAGCCCAGTCACTGCACCACATCTGAAAGTGACAGCATTCTGCATTTCTCTTCCTAGCAATGCAAACCTGGTTAGTCACATCATTTACAAACTCCACCTTGTAGCTCAGTTTCTGCAAGATCATATGATGGAGGAGTTGAGACTAGCCTGAGGCAAGTCACCCAAGGCAGAGAGCCACCTCCATCACCTGCTGTGAGCCAGTGAGAGCCTTGAGCAGAGAAGTCTGGGTTCTAGACACTCTAGACACATCCTCTGAATGTGGGTGCACTGGGCCTCCTTTTCCTTATTTGTATAATGTTCCTGACCTGAAACTTGCCTGCTGTTGACTCAAGGCTGTGATCAGAATGGAGCTCAAGTATGTTGGAAAAGCAAGGTACTGCCCAAACCTCAAATACTTGAGGGTGCATTTCTGAGCATCAGGTTTTGCTTGTGGGATGGACTCATGGAAGCTCCAGAGGACACTGGGTGTTGTCCTGTGGCATGGATGGGTGAGGGCGCCTGTGTTCTCTTGGTGTGTAGCTGACCTTGTCTTTGTGCTCTCGTGCTTGCTTCAGGTTGGGGGAAGTTTGCTCGGCTGACCAGAGCCCTGACAAGCAGCAGGGGCGTCCTGCAGCAGCTGGCTCCCAGTGTACAGAAAGGCGAGAATGTCCACAAACACTCCCGCCTGGCAGAGGTAAGGGTGGGCGTAGCAATCAGCCTCACTTCCTGAGGGTGTGTGGGCTGTTACACTTGGTAGCACTTCTTGGGGGCATGTGGGTTAGTGTACCGGAGTGGAAGGGGACCCCTGGGACCTCCAGCTTCTTGGCTGGGACTTTGGTTTTTCTGGACTCCATAAACTGTTCTATGTAACCTGTTTTGGTTGTCACACTGTGTAAAAGCAGCCTGGAGACAACCCTGACTTTTGTGTGATTATAGGTGTCAGTTTACTTTTCTTTGGACACAGTAAGGAGCTGCAATTTCTTCCTATTTGTAAAGGAAGCCTTTAAAACAACTTATAAGTCATAGATAATTTTGCTATTTTAGCAATATGAATATGTATTCAAGGAAAACAATGATATGAAAATCAAAAGGAAAAATAAAAGTCTTCTGTGATTTCTGGCCATGTACATTTAATACTTTCTTTTGGACACATCCTGCTTCCTAAGAGGAACTCCACATTTAATGTTTATAGGGTTGAGGATGACCTTGTCTTCCTTTCTTCACTTTATATATCCATGGATCCTTTGCAGGTTAATACACATTCTTAAAGTTGTTGATCGATAACCTCTGAGGTAAGGACAATCTGAAGTGGTGGCATTCTCCCATTTGCTGGGGTGTGTGAAGCCATGAGAAGTATCTGTCAGATTTAATACACTCTCGTCTTCTGTACCCACCCTCAGTCAGGCATTGTCTTCAGATTCTCAGTGAGGTGAGGGCAGGACCTTCTTGGGACATGTCACACTTCACTCAGCAAACCATCATCTCACCAAATGTGTCAGCATAAGCTCTCAAGTTGCCTTGAGATAGACAGTCAACTTTTGAGCATTGGTTGAAAGTACAGCCCTACTGGCCTAACTTCTGGCTTCCAGTTTTTGTAAGGAAGAAATTCCCAGCATGCCGAGCTCTAAAGGGTGTCAGGTGCACGTGCAGTGCTTGCTGGGTAAGTCTATTACACAGGCTCCCTAGGAGCTTTTGTCAATAGTGGGAATGTACGCTGTGCTGAAGAGAATCATTTGGTTGTACAACTCACAGATGTGTTTTCTCTGTTTTTCCTTGTTGATGATGCAGTGACCTTTGGTCCTGCGTGTCCCTTTGCTCACTGTCATATGGCCACACTGGCTTCTGTGTTGTTTCTTTCATGTATATCACAGGCTGGCTTTCCACATGGATATGTCTGTGTGTCAACTACTTCCTTACAAGTCTTTGCTTAAATAGCATTTTCCCCATGTGGCCTGAGAAATAGCTAAGAGGTTTATTGCAATGAACTAGTCTATTTGATTGTGGCATTTGGCTGTACATATGTCTGGTCATCAGACTGGACATTCTCAGGAGGAGCCAAAGCTGCAGTTATGGGTACATTCCTTCTTTCCTAGGGTCTCAGTTTCTTATCTCTCTGACAAAATACTAGACAAAAGAAACTTGGAAGGGTTTGTTTGGTCATGGACTAAGGGGACAAATCCCATGGTGGTGGGAAAGTCTCAGTGACAGGAGTGGGAAGCAGTCAGTCGTGCTGCATCCACACTCGGGAAGTATAGTGAATGCAGTAGTCAGCTCACTTTCTCCTTGTTACCCAGCCTGAGGCCCCAGCCCATTTGGGGTGGGTCTTCCCTCCTCTCCAGGACCCCTTTCACAGACAAACACCCAGAGAAGTGTCTCCTGGGTGATTCCAAAGCCTGTCAAGTTGACAGTCAAGATGAGCATCACAGCAGGCAGACAGCCTTCCACTCCTCAGGCCTTTCTTCAGGTTGTATGAGACATGTCACATTATAGAGGACATTCCCTTTCCCCTCAGAGTTAACTGTCTAGATGCTAATGAGGGCGACAGCATCCCTTTACAGGAACACATCTGTGTTTTCTTGATGACCTAGCCAGGCCTTAGCTGAGCTGACGTAGAAGTAATCATTTTATTCTCTTGTCAGTGGAGTGCCCACACATTTACCTTAAACCACACTGACCTCCCACTAAGAAAATAGCAAAGTGACTCTTCATTTCATGGTCACTGTCCCCTGTTCAGTGGAAGGCACACCATTTCCCAGAAGGGGACACTCCATCTTCAGTGACCATACTTATAACCAGTATGTAATGCTGACTCCTAGCAGTACATGTTATGTCACAAAATAAGGAGAGGGGGCAAAGATAATAGTATAGTTAGACGAGGGAAGGACAAGTGCCTCACCCACTTCTTAACCTTTTCCCCCAACACATAATGTGTTTTATAATGTAATATACAGTCTGCTTAAAATTTTATTCACTCATTTAATTAATGTGTGAGGGTATGTATGCATGTGTATGCAGATGTGTGTGTACAAGGTTTCTTGCTAAATCTGGGGCTTGCATTTACATGGCTCGTTTACAGGCCAGCAAGCACCAGCATCCTTCTGTCTCTACCCTCCTTGGAGCTGGTGTAAAATCTGGTTTGTTATGTGTAAGCGCAGGGATCTGAATTCTGTCCTTCACTTCTCCTCAACTGTTCCTCCTTGCTGAGCCATCCCTGGTCCGAGTCTACTTTTTAGTTGTGTTTGTTGTTCTGGGATAATCCCAAGCACTTAGAACCACAGCACTTAATAGCTGTTTAGTAGTGTTACTTAATTTGTAGAAATCGATTTAATGAGTGGAAGAAGGAAATGACTTAGTGTTTTGTCTGTCTGTCCATCTGGTCCCTCGATTCAAAATGAGACAAGAATGTGTGACTCATTCCAGGGCAAGCTTCAGCTACTGGCTTGCTGATTTTATTGACCTGTTCAGATTACTAGCTTTTGGTTTTCACCGATTTCCTCTGTTGACTTTCTATCTACCACTTTATTGGTTTCTGCCTAGATTTCTTACTTATGATCTAATTTTCTCTTCTTTGTCTAGTTTTTTAAAGCAGGTATTTAGATTACTGATTTTGATTTTTCCCTCTATCAAAACATAAGTTTTGATAAATTATAGTTTTACTTAAATTGTTATATATTTAGTTAAAAGACATTTTCATTTACTTACAAGTGTGTATTTCTGTTGGTGCATGCACCCATGTACACTCAGAGGCCGGAGGAGGACATCAGGTGTCCTGCCATATCACTCTCTACCTTATTCCTTCGAGACAGGGTCTCTCACTGAACCTGGAGCTGGGCTGGTGACCAGCATGGGCCAGTAGTCTTCGTATCTCTGCCCCAGGCAGTGCTGGGACTATAGGTGTGTCTCTGTGTGGCCACACCTGGCTTTTTAAATAGGTGCTGTAGATTTGAACTCAGGTCCTCATGCTTGCAAGGCAAGTATCTTACCCACTGGGCTGTCTCCTCCGCCCTCCTCATAGTCCTTAGCTCACAGACTTAGATGCTATTGTGTGCCTGTGCAGATTGGTTATGTACTCTTGGAGTACTGGCCCCTAACTATAATGCTGCCCTTATCCTTGATAAAGTTGTTTTCTCTGAGTCTGTTGGAAATGAATGTAGTTACCTTCCTTTCATTAAATTAGTGATAGCACGGCACATCTTTCCCCATCTTGTCTCCATCTCTTATTTAATATGGGGCTGCAGACAGCATGTGGCTGGATTTTTTAAAATGTCAGTCTGACAGTCTAAGCTTAACATGATTATTGAAGCTCAGGCTGCTGGCTGGAGTGTCTACACTTCTCTCTTCACTGCCCTTGGTTTTCGCCCCTACGGCGTTGTCCACTTTTTTCTCTTCTTGTCTTGTTTTTAATGGAACGTTTTTATGATTTCAGTTTTTGATTAGATAAAATGTGCTTCTTTTGTGAATGAGTGTGGTGTATGTATATGTACATGTGAGTATGAGTGTGTACATGTATATGGGGGCATGTGCATGTGTGTGTATGTATAAGTTAGAAGTCAAAGTCAGGTGTTGTCCTCAATTACTCCATGTGTTGTTTTTTGAGACAGGGTCTCCCTGAATCTGAATCTGGAGCTCACGGATTTATCTTGGCTGACTAGCAGTATATTCATATATTCACACAACACTACACTGCTTCATGGGCAGTGAAAATGCATTCTTATAACAACATACCCCTATGTTCTGTTCCATGAACCATTGCTTTCCCTCATGTCATTTATATAAATGTACATCTACACTTACCTCCATAGTCAAATACATTGTCACTGTTATTTTTACTATGTGTGTGTGTATGACAGCCAAAGACAACTCATGAGAATCAATTCTGTCCCTCTATCATGGGGATCCTAAGTCATCAGGCCATCAGGCTTAGTGGCCAGTGCCTACTCACTGAACAATCTTGCCTACCATGTTATAATTATTTTGGTTAAACTTCAATGCTAGATATCTAATAATAACAAAATGGAACTCGTTTACCTCTGTTCTCTCTCTGAGAGTCTTCTAAACTCTAGGCATGTTTGTAGTAGGACATCTTCCTTCTTTGTAGTGGACTTCACCTCCTCTGGTATTATCTGTGAGACCCATCTACTAGCGGCATGTACACTTGATCTCTCTTTCCCCTTCACTTGGGAGGGGCGTGATTTCATGTGGAACAGATATGTAGGCTGTTGTACATTTCTGTCTGCATGATTTGCTGGGTTGTGAGATGTTGGTGGTGATCCTTAAGTTTATATCTCTGAAGGTTAGCGTTAATTGTCAGCTCCATAGACTCTGACCTCCCCTGGGAGGTCTCTGAGCATGCCACTGGGGGATTATCTAGATTGTGTTGATTGGTGTGGGAACCTGTCCACTGAGGGTGGCACTGACCCCTGACTGGGTAGCAGCAGGCATCCAAGCCCATGTCTGCTTTGTGCTTATAGGAGCTGCATGATGAGCGGCCGTGAGCACTTGCCACCTTGACTTGATTTGGCTGTTGTAGTAGATGTGTGTTTGAGCCATGAGTCTTTTCTCCTCCAGATGCTTTTGTCAGAGTATTTTATCACAGGAGTGGAAAAGACACTAAGACAGTTAGGCAATGTTTTTGTGTATGGCTCCTTTCAAGATTGTTATTGCCTTTGATATTTATGTGGTTTAATGCAACAT